TTTAATATATATATATAGTATATTATCTATTATTACTAATATATAAGAATATATACAATAAAAGAATTTATATTGTATAAAAGAATAGATATTAGTGTAATTCAACAGAATCTTTAATATAACCAGATAATAATATACTAAATACGTAAGCTTGGATAATAGCAATACCAAATTCAAGTATAGTAATAGCAACAACAGCTAAAATAGGGATAATACCACTAACAAAACCTAATAAAGAAGAAGACATTAAACTAATAATTAAAGAACCAAGAATTAACATAAGTAAGTGACCAGAAAGTATATTAGCACCTAAACGAAGACCTAAAGAAATAGCACGAGAAGCATATGATAAAGCTTCAATTAAAACTAAAACAGGAACTAAAGCTAGAGGAGTACCGCTAGGAACGAATAAAGCAAAGAAACCTCATCCATGTAAATATAAACCTAAAATAACATTACCAATTCAAAGAGCTAATGAGAAAGAAACAATAGCAACTAATTGAGCAGAAATAGCAAATGAATAAGGAATCATAGAAATTAAGTTAGCAATTAAAATAAAGTTAAAAATAGTAAATATTAAAGGAAAATAATATCCTCCTTTACGTCCAATTTGTCCATTAACTAAGTTAAGAATAGTATCATATATAGCTATAATAGAAACACCTCAACGAGATGATCCTAAAAAGTTATTACGAATAATACTACTATAAAAAACAATGATTAATGAAACAATAATTAAATATAATGTATAATTAGTAATACTGAAAGTTAAATTATCAGTAATAATTAATAATGGTTTAAGTTCAAATTGATCAAGTGGAGAATAGAACATATAAAAAAAGAAAAGATGGCCATTGATAAACACGGCAAAAATAAAAAATAAATAATCTTCCTCATAAAAGATTAATAAATAAAATAATTACTTAAAATAATAATATTATAATTTAATAATAATATTACGTGCAATTAATAAACGAAGAATGTTAGGTAATAAGTAAGTAGCTACAAAATATAATAATAATGAGATAGCTAAAATACCACCAGTTAATAAATTCATAAAGTAAAAAGGTACTAATTGAGGCATAAATAAAATAAAATAAATATGATATATAGATATATATCTATAATTTAATAAATCAGATTGGAAGGACTTGAACCCTCAAAATCCTACACCCAATGTAGGCTCGATAACCAATTACGAGACAATCTGTATGAAATACATATATATAGCCATATTAAATGTTATATCAACATCTTATAAATAACGATAATGTTAATAAGGACTTAAATATGCATAACACTATGTAGGGAATTGAACCCTAATTAATCAAGCTGCAATTGATCATCTATACCAATAGTCATAGCGTATTAAATATTAAAGGGATATCAATATAATCTACATATAATAATAATAATATATATAATTAATAATATATATATATATAATAAATATAATTATAATTAATGATACGATAGACGTGATTCGAACACGCACTGAAGCATTGGAAGTGCCAGAGTCTACCATTAACCTACTATCGTATATATACCTACCTATAAAAAGAAGAATAAATATAATAAATTTAAGAAAATACCAATATTAATATAAGTTAATGCTCTACTAATACCAGTAGATCCTAAAACTTTTAATAATCCATTATCAATATATGTATTTAAATATCCACCAAATACTAATGTTTTACGTATAATAACATTATTTAATAATTGATCATAATAAATTTTATTATTAAAGTAATTATATATAGTTGAAGGTCTTACTTTATAAGCGTATTCATAAATATATACTAATAATAATGATAAAGATAAACCTAATATTAAAGGTAATAATTTGATATATCAAGGTAATGTAAATTCAGTTTCAATAAAACTATTATTAGCAGGTAATGTCATAGCATAATGTCCTATAACATTATCTCTATTAAATCCTATAAATATACTATAAATAACTAATATAACCATAGGTATTAACATACGTATGTTTTCATGTATATGTTGATATGTAGCTTTATTACTATTAGGGTTATTATAGAATGTTAAATATAATACTCTTATAGAATATAAACTAGTAAGAGTAGCAGATCCAACAGCCATATAATATAAAATATATCCACTAAATGTATAAGTACCATATAATGATTCAATAATAATATCTTTAGAATAATATCCAGTTAATCCAGGTATAGCCATTAAAGATAATGATGCAATTAATATGGCTGTATAACTAAATGGTAAATAATTAACTAAACCACCATATTTACGCATATCTTGTGTTTCAGATATATAACTATGAATAACAGAACCAGCTCCCATAAATAATAAAGCTTTAAAGAAAGCATGACAATATAAATGATAAATAGCTAAATCATATGAACTAATACCTATAGCTAATACCATAATACTTAATTGTGACATAGTTGATAAAGCAATAACTTTCTTAATATCATTAGTAACTATAGCAATAAGTCCACTAACTAATGTAGTAATACCACCTAATCAACAAATACCTATTAATAATGAAGGTGCATATTCAAGTATAAAATATGATCTAACAAGAACATAAACTCCAGCACAAACCATAGTAGCAGCATGTAATAAAGCACTAACAGGTGTAGGTCCCTCCATGGCCTGAAGTAATCAAGCATGTAATCCTAATTGTGCACTCTTAGCTGTAGCAGCTAATAATAATAATAAACTTAATATATTTAATATTAATGTATTAGTATAAGGTGCAGCTAATGATAATGTATCAAAATCAACAGCATGAAAATAACTTAAGAATATACCTAAAGCTAACATAAAGAATGTATCACCCATACGATTTAATAAAATAGCTGATAAAGCAGCTTTCATAGCAGCAATTCTAGTTGATCAGAATGAAATTAATAAATATGATATAACTCCTACAAATTCTCAACCAATAAACATCATAATATAGTTATCACTAACAACTAAAATAGTCATAAATATAGCAAATACACTTAATATTATATAAAAAGTATTACGATTAGGATCATGACTCATATACTCAATAGCATATAAAAGAACACATAAAGTTACTATACCTACAGGTATCATAACTGTCATAGCTAATGAATCAAGTGATAAACCATAAGGTATT